TTCCTTGGAACTCAACCATCAACATCCGAAAAACGAGACAAACGGGACAAGACCAAAAGACGCAGATCCAATACTCCTGTAAAAACATTTTCCGACCGAAAACGCAGGAATACAAGGTCTTTGAGTCCAACAAACTCTCGCAACTTCAAGAAAACCCGCGAATCAGACCGGGATTGGAACAAAAGCCACAAAAAGAGTGAAAGCTCTAGAGGGCGACTAAGACATTCAAGCAATGAGGAATATGAAAAAGAGGAACGTTCTCCACGTCGATCCAACTTTGTGTCCACGTTCCGTACAAACAAATTTTCAAACTTCAGAAACAATTATGGACGGAATACTTCATGGAGCAAGTGCCCATTTTGCGACAAGCCACATAGCACTGTCCGCTGTCCACTCAGCCTCAATGACCGCAACTCTGCAGTCATGCAAAAACAGCTATGTTTTAATTGCTTGAGCCCAACTCATTCAAGATTCCAATGCACCAATCAGTCTTGCTGCAGAAATTGCAACAGCCAACATCACACTGCGCTTTGCCGCAATAGTACAAACAGTGGATACTTCAAACAAGGCAATTCTTACAACCAGCAAGGATCATCATCATCAAATAATCGCTCCAACAATCAGCGAAATACCCGATTCTCCAACAACGACCGGAATAACAGTGGAAATTACAACAACCGTTCAAGCAACAACAATCGGTTCAACAATCGGATTACTAGTAATCCCAACAACCGACAAAATGAGCAAAGAAGGAATCCTAGCGTTTTTCAAATGCTGACGGAAATTAAAGATCGCCTTCCATCTCAACAATTGGCAATTGCAGCCCCGGCAATGGTACCGGCTATTGCTGCATCGCATTCCGCATGACTCGCAGGGGTACATTCTGAAGTATCATCCATCCCGTACTCCCTACTTGAAACTGCAACCATCCGTCTGCAACCTAACAACGTGGAAGTTCATGCCTTATTTGATACAGGGTCTCAATTAACGCTTGTGACCCAGGCATTGGTGAACAGGCTGAAATTACCTATTTTACAAACACAAAAGCCTCATACTATTTCTGGCATTGGAAACAACCGCCTGCAATCAA